AGGTTCGCGGCCTGATTTGCGGGGACTCGAACCCTGAACTTCTAGATAGTGTGCCACCATGCCAGCCAGCCCACCGTACGTTCATTGCTCTTGCACGACTAACTCAGAAGGAATCTTCAATAGTCCTTAGATTAGGTTTAGAGTAAGGCCTATGTTGATGGCGTTCAATGTGATCCTTCGGTCGTCGTGCTAAACTACTAGGACGAAAACTCATTAAATTAAATCAGGCTGCGAGCTTTAATGAGTACATTATCTCTTGCGACCGGAAGTCATTAGCATCTACACCTGTTCGTCTGCTGTAAGAGTTTTTATTTTTTCATTAACGCGGGTCGTTGGCCTTCCTTTGAAAAAATGACGGCCACTTTATGGGAAATTTTCTGCCATGTCGACGGCTCGTGTTGCCGCGGGCCACCTTTTAAACACTGCCCATCCTCGGCTCTTTTAAGTGTCAAACCCTTTGACCAGTCCATGTGACACCCCCTCCCCTCACCCCCGGGGGGTCTCTCTGACATCACTAATGGATTACCTGTGACGCCAGGTGTGGCCACCGTCGTCTGCTAGTCGGGTTGCTGTGATCTCTTTGACGCGTCCGTCTGTCATTCAGAGGACCTTTTGTCTGAGTGATAATCCGATATTTTTTTTGAATAGTCACATTAGGTCATATGAAAACCTTGCCCATAAGGTCATCTGGAAACCTGACCATTAGGTCATCTGGAAACCTGACCATTAGGTCATCTGGAAACCTGACCATTAGGTCATCTGGAAACCTGACCATTAGGTCATCTGGAAACCTGACCATTAGGTCATCTGGAAACCTGACCATAGGTCATCTGGAAACCTGACCATTAGGTCATACCGATACCGCTTAGCATCTTTCAGAATGCTTCCACTAGATTTAGTTGTTTTTTTTAAACTCCTAATTGAACTTGTGCTGCTAATGACCACTAGATGACCTTGACGTTCAACATTTTTGTATGCATAATTCGGACTGTGTCTATTGTCTGAATAGAGAAAAACCGAGAAGACAAATTATGATTAAGCAAAAAGTGTTGTATTTGGGGTTACCAAGTGCACCGTCTTTTAACACACCGTCACAAATTACTTCCGGTTGTTGTGTTATGTAACTGTGTAGTTCAGTGTGTTACATCATTGTGTGTGTATTTCAGTGTGTTGTGTAACTGTATGTAGTTCAAACTAGTGTGTAGTGGAAACCGTTATGTAACAGTGTGTATAGTTCAGTGTGTTAGGTAACTATGTGTAGTTCAGTGTTATGTAACCGTTGTGTGTAGTGGAAACTGTTATGTAACAGTGTGTTATGTAACTGTGTGTAGTTCAGTGTGTTATGGAGCAGTGTGTGTAGTTGAAACAGTGCTGTGTTACTGTGTGTGTTCAAACCGTGTGTTATGTGACTACAACATGTTGGCATCGCCGCGATATTCTGGTGGTATTTCATCGCCATTCTCCACCGCTCTACCAAGGTGTAATTAGCATTAGGGATAATTAGAGGTACGGTTGTCCGCCCCTTATGTAAACAAGATACGATAATTGGTAATTAACAAGTTGGATGTAGCTTACATACAGTGTGAAGTTAGGAGAGAGGGGTGTTGGTCAATACGGTAGCGCGTGGCTGTGACACCTGGCTTGGCTCGAGGATTCGAACCCCCATAGCTTACATACAGTGTGAAAGTGGGAGAGAGGGGTGTTGGTCAATACGGTAGCGTGTGGCTGTGACACCTGGCTTGGCTCTTGAGGATTTGAACCCACCGAGGGTAAACTCAAAGGGGGGTGGGGGGGAGTTGTTGGCTTAGGTGCCCACTTGTCGGAGACCTACAAGAGAACAGCCAAGTTGTATGTGTTGAATGTATTATCGCATAATCATTGACTATGTGGCTATGCTGAATTTAGACTTCAATGATAGGGCGGGACTTCAGTATCTTTCTGTCCAAAACAACTGGAAAGATAGAATTTGTAATATCGGAATTCGATGTCATCAATTTATCCCACGACCACAATTCGTGTTTAGAGTTCAATCGTTTATTGTTTTATTTAATTAGGCCTCTAAGAAATTGCCTTATGTATAAAATAATGTGTTCGATAAAAACAATTGTTTGAAATAATAATAAAAAAGTGGTTATAAATTAAATACAATCTTTATTCATGAGAAATCTATGTATATTTTACATAGCATTACACAGCAGTTGTACACAGGCAGACCACAAGAACACATCAGGGACCAACACAGGTCATTGGTGGACCATTCAGCTACATCAGACAGTTGGTGGACCGTTCAGTTACATCAGACGGTGGACCGATCAGTTAAATCAGTTGGTGGACCGTTGTGGACCGGACACGAATAAAATAAATCATACTTGAAAATACTTTTGTATTTCACAGCCTCAGTATACAAATATATCAGAAAACAAACATACACACAAACAGTTTTACTAACATAATATAACATACCACATTCGTCACTACACTAACACACCAATCTAATATCTATATCATCACTACCATACCAATACAAACACCAATATTTTCACCAACGCACCAAACTTCAACCAACCACCCCAACGAAACCAAATTAAATGAATTGTTAAAATATCCAGCATCCATAGGACAGAAGACAAGATTTGGAAGAAGTTTCCCAAGAATTGAACAAAATGTACACACAATTTACATATCATTAACATAATTTTTAAAAATATTGAATTAAAAAAAATAAATAGCCACAAAAGTTAACAGTGTAGAGCACTCTGCCAATATTTACATAAATTACAAGCACTGGAATTTAATTTGTTTACAACATGCTACTTGAACGTAGTGAATGGCGTAAACAGGGGGTGAAGGGGGGCGGCAGACCCGGGCTACATTTTAATACACATTTCAAGTGATTTACAGTGATATTTTACAGTTATATTATAGGACAGGGCGTCTGCTGATGGTATATGGTGATCTATCACCTATTTGATTGTCTGATTAATGTGGTAAAATGACGTATTTGGTGTGAAAGGCAATCTATGACGTATGCCTACCAATCTTCCTACCCTAGTTTTCAAGATTGTCTTTGTTGTAAAAGTGATTGTCATATAAAAAAATTGGTGTATTTCAAAAAGATAAGTTTATCTTTATTTGTGCAGACAAAAAATTTTAAATTCTTTTTTTCTTCTGAGACTTGGTTTTTAATTATAATTTTTTTTTCCTTGAAGAAAGGGGAAAGATAATCCCTTTTTATTAAGAAAAGTTTATAACCTTGTTTGTACAGTGATAACAAAACGGAGTTACCTGTCTTGTGTAATCAAGAGTTTTAGCTGTAAGTGGGGGTAATGTAAAGGGCGGGGTATTAAGAGGAGAATGCAGGGGGGGGGGGGGAGAGGTTAAAAGTAGTAAACGTTCAATATACAGATAGGTAGGGGAATGGGAACTTAGAATTAAGTGATAAATGTGGGAGGGAGGGGGGGGGGGGGGAATTTTCCTTGACAGCTGTTGTGTAATGTATAGGAAGATTATTTTCTTTTGCCTCAAAGTTTTACTTAAGCATACATACTTATTAAAAATAATATTGTATGTGTTATGCGCAGAAAATAACGTTTTTGGAACTTAAGCTGATGTAATTAATTAATTGTAATTTATTTTCAAATAGTAAACTTTCTTGCTTCTTATGATTTCACAAAATAACAAGACACCATGCACACGACATGTTTGGTATTTCATAAATTACTTTCTCACTGAAAGCTTAGATTAGGTAATGAATTAATTAATCAATCAATGGCACATGAAAGAATTGTTTTAAAAAGGAGAGAAAAAAAAACATTTTGCTTTAAACAGCAGCTAAAATCTAATTTGAAGTGAAACTACAAAAATGGTATTATGCAAGTCATTTTTTAACACCACAAAAACCCAACTTAAAAAAAAGTCAATAATTGAAATAAAATCTCTCATTCACATTGGCCTGTTACTGTCTCAATAATGCGAAAAGGGAAGAAACAGCCAATCAAAACAATTATTACTACTACATGAACCAATCAAAATAGTAATACTATTAAAAACAAACATCTGAATAAAGTCATTTGAAGCTTATCCATCCAATAATCCAACAACTGTATTACTTAAATATATCCATATATGTATCCATTATTATATACATACATGCATTCATTGCCTGCTGGATTTGCAGCAAGATTCAGCATGGAAACAGTTAATCCATTTATACATCACAGAGTAATTGAGCCTGCTTCATGTTATCCATTACTTGGAGCAAAGACCGGATAATCACAACCAATCCACAAGTGAGAATGGGAGTAAGAGTCACATGGATAGCAGGACGCAGGGAATACTGTCAGTTACAGGTTCACTACCACCTAGTGCTGATTTCCAGGTTTTAAGTGGAAGATATACCAAGTTCAAGGTTATATATACCTTAAGTCTCCATGTTCTGCATGTTGCAAGTTTTTAATGGAAGATTTGAGCGTTGAGAAAAAAAAAAACAATCACTTTTTTATAGGTGCCTTCTGGTACAGTGTGTGGTCTGGGCATAACCTTAGGAGTTCCAGTGTCTGGGCCACTTGTTGGCTCATAGAGTCACTACAGAGGGAGGGCCATGGGCAGCATAGTGTGGCTCATGGCTATACTCCTGTAGGCCAATATCTCCTCCATTACATGGCTCCGGGCCTCACTACAGAGGGAGGGCCATGGGCAGCATAGTGTGGCTCATGGCTATACTCCTGTAGGCCAATATCTCCTCCATTACATGGCTCCGGGCCTCACTACAGAGGGAGGGCCATGGGCAGCATAGTGTGGCTCATGGCTATACTCCTGTAGACCAATGTCTCCTCCATTATATGGCTCCGGGCCTCACTACAGAGGGAGGGCCATGGGCAGCATAGTGTGGCTCATGGCTATACTCCTGTAGACCAATGTCTCCTCCATTATATGGCTCCGGGCCTCACTACAGAGGGAGGGCCATGGGCAGCATAGTGTGGCTCATGGCTATACTCCTGTAGACCAATGTCTCCTCCATTATATGGCTCCGGGCCTCACTACAGTGGGAGGGCCATGGGCAGCATAGTGTGGCTCATGGCTATGCTCCTGCAGGCATCACAGTTTGACATCTTGCTAATGTCTTGCAGCTTCTTGGCGATGGCCTCAGACAGAAGCACGGCCGGCCCAAGCTTCATGCCCAGCGTCTTGACCAGGTGGTCAGTGCTCAGCAGTGCCAGGATGCGACCGTTGACCCTCTGCTCACGGAAGTGCTGGAAGATGAAAAAAGCGTTAGGAACGACTGATTTCATTTAATTATTAATTAGCTAATTGTAATGCTTTAATGATTACCGTAACATCATATATCTACGTGAAACTGGTCTAAAATGTGTGCTCAATGTTAATCGTAACATTACTACTTGGTCAGTGAAAAGATGAAACTAGCTAAATCTGCTTACATCAGAATAAATGCCACATCCTTCCAAAGAGTTTAAGAATTTGCAGACATCTTCCACATTCCACATCCTGATGTCATCGTCTCGATGGTCCGCACATGCGCAGTGGTACATCGGCCTGGCGTAGTCCGGCAGAGCGGATAAGTAGGCCATGGCCTGTGGCCCATATTCCATGTAACGCTTGCGCAACATTTCGGCCGCGCTGTCCATGCTGGCTGACTCTAGGCCACACGGGATGGCCCTGGCCATTGCTATACGTTCTTGCTGCTGCTGCTGTTGTTGCTGTTGTTGTTGCTGCTGCTGCTGTTGTTGTTGTTGTTGCTGCTGTTGTGAGGCGGCAGCTGCTGCGATGTACTCCCATGGTGAGGTGTACTCCGGTGGTCGCCCGTCCATCCTGTCAAGGTCAAGGTTAAAACTCGATAAAATACATGGGCTAAGCTACTTTTAAACAAAAGGCGTACCATTTAAATAATAATTGAAAGAACTCATTAATAAATATTACTTGCCTCATTCGTTTAGCGTTAAACTCCATTGCCGCTTCCATTTCGGTGGAATGCCGCTTGGTCCCTGCGGCCACGGTTGAGCTTGATGCGGCCATTTCCGGTATGAGATATGGATATGCGGCAGTCCACGGATACGAGGCTGCGGCCAGCGACCTCTGGTAGTCCAATAAAGACGGCTGGGCGGCGTACTGGTGGCGTTGTAACAGGGGGTGCAGCTGGGCAAATGAGGGGTGTCCGTAGCTGGCCAGCGCCCCAGCGGGGGTCTGATACAGCAGGGGGTCTTTCGGCATACCGCCCAGCTGGGCTCCGTAGGCGCTCATGTGAAGAAGGTGGGAGGGGAGGGCGGTTTCTTGGGGGCGCATTTGAAACAGGGATGGCATATACGTAGGAGTGGGTGGCCTGGGAAGAAATAAAAGAAAAAAACGTTAAGAATTTTATCCTGGTAAAAAACTAAATAAATCATTGAAGAAAATATATTCGTTAGAATTTTTTTTTTACTTTTCCCCCTTTCAATGTGACGTCTGAAGATGCAGATAAACTCCACCCCTGATCCCCCCCCCCCCTCCCCTTGTTTAAGCCGGGACAAAGCCTCTCAAATGCTACCGCTATCCACAAAATGGCAGAAACCATAGAAGGCTAAATTCATTTTTTTATAGACACGGAAGCCAACAAGGGGGCCGGGCCAGGATATGGCAGAGCCGAAGCCATGCGCAGTGGCCTGCAAGATGGCGGCGGCCTGCAAGATGGAGGTGGCTTTGTTGGACGAGAATCTCGCCACAAAGGTCGTGCCAGACCACGAAAGTGGTTAGTCTCGAAACGAGGCTTTGCTCGAGGTCTGATGGATAAACACGGGGGAAACATCTCATGGACAAAGTTAATCAGTTCAATTTGTGTTTGGGAACGGGTCTTTGTGTATGGGGGTGGGGGGGGGTAGATGGGAGGGGGAGATGTAGAACTGTGTTGAAATTAAAATCTAGAAACGAAGATTGCAGCTTTTAATGTTTGCTTGATCTGGTTAATGTCCACGTCACGTGATCAGAGGGATGTCGACGCCATCTAAATGTTCACGTGACTTTAAGAATGTATATGTGGTACGGCAACAAAATACACTAACGACAAGCCTTTAGGGAAGCCCCTGGTTACATAAAGGCAAGCCTTTAGAGAAGCCCCTGGTTACATGACGCAAGCCTTTAGGGAAGCCCCTTGTTACATAACGGCAAGCCTTTAGAGAAGCCCCCTTGTTACATGATATGTTGGGGCTGGGGCGTTTAGAGCTATAGTTACGGTATTGGTTCATGTAGGCTTTTGACAGCGTGTGTAGAGCGAGAGGGTCAGATCGACCTAGAGACCCAGGTGCAACTGCCAGGCAGGTTTTCATGTGTAAGATTTGATTCCCTGCGGTATACAGGATCCCCTGTGATATACGAGACTCCCCGCGATATATAAGATGCCCCGTGATAAACACGATTCACTGCGAGATTAAGTTATAGGTCTATTTCATTGTATGTAGTTCTATATGGTTCCCTTTATTTAAAATTAAAAAGGCTCAATTATTTTTCAATAGCGCAGAAATCACCCCCCCCCCCCAAACTTTTTATTTAAAAAACCATTAATCACATGACTTAGACTTTTTTTAGATTACAGAAAAAACCACCTGATATCAGCGGAGAAAGCAAAGATACTCCGGTAAAGGGACGTCCCTCTGACGTGCTAGAAGGGTTTCCGGTTTCACGAGGCGGGCGCCATGTGTGGAGGGGAGGGCGAGGGGGATATTAAACGCGTTCAAACAAATTATTACGACTGCTGCATTCGTTGCGTGTGCTGACGTGGAGGGGAGGTGGGGGTGTTTTGTGGGGAGTGGGGGTAGTCGACAGTGAGGGGTGTGGAGGTGTCTAAAATAATGGAGCATAAAAAGCCAACGGAGACTAAATTAAAGGAGTGTTAAACGTCCATTGCCGGATAAAATTGTGGAGACGTGTTGTTTAGCAGTAGAGAAAGGTGAGAGAAAGTATAGGAGAAAGATCATAACTGGTCAGGCGAAATCTCCACAGGCCTGGCTGTAGTGGCTACTACATGACGGGGAGGGGGGGGGGGGGAGAAGGAGGTCATATTTATGGCAATAATGACATCTGATGCAAACAGTATCGTATGAAACTGTCTTGAGAACTGATGTTTTTCAATGTCAATCAAAATATTCAGCTGACTTTAAAGACAACGCGGTACATTTTTGAATCGATCAGAATCGATTAGAATATAAAGTAGTGTGACCTTGGTGTACTCACATGTTGAAGGTGTGTCCGTGACCTGCCGCCAGCACGCGCATGTAATCACTGAAGGCGGCGGCGTCTGCCACCCCACCTGTGGGGCGACGTGAGGGGTCCACGGAGCCCCCCACGGGGGTGGAGCTCGTCCTGTCCTGTTTGCTGCTCTCCTTGCCTCCATCACGTCTCTCCTTCTCTTCTAACCTCTTCCTCTCTGTCTCTTTTTCGTCTCTCCTCTCCCTGTCTCTCCTCTCATCCCTCTCCCTATCTTTCCTGTTCCTCTCCTCGCGAACTTTTTGTTTATACCTATCCTCTCTCTCTTTCTCTTTAATCTTATCCTCTGATGCCGAGGATTTCGAGTGCCCGGCCTCTGAACTTTCTCTTTTAGCGGAGTCTGTGTTATGATTCAAATGTCTGTCTATACTGTGGAAACCTTTAGGATGGGGATTTTCCGATTTTGCCGATGGTGCGTCTTTTTTATCCGTGTGTTTGTGAGCGTTTTCGGGGGATTTTTTCACGCCGGTGGTGTCTTTGGCGCCGTGCGGGGAGGAATGGGTGTCGTGACGGGAATGGTTGTCGTGACGTTGAGCGCCGTCGGGATGATGAGGGCGCTGTGAGGGCGATTTAGCCCCGTGAGTGGTGTTGAGGACGCGGTGGATGTGGTCGTCCGAGTTGTGAGGGGAGAGGGTGGGCGGCACCCAGATGTGCTCGGACTTGACGTTGTTGGGGGCCACAGAGACGGACAGCGGCTGGGGGACTGGCCCGGAGAAGGCGTATGACGTCATGGGGGGCGGGGCTAACAGAGCCGAAATGTGACCACTGTTGGCAGGAAGGGTTGGAAGATTTTCAGATTTCTGGAATCCATCTTTAACAGGGGTGTTATCGGGGACACTGGGATCTTCAGCGTTGACCTTGGGTGAGGGTTGAAGGTCGGGTTTTATTGTTGAGACCTCTGGTTTGATTACAGAAGAGGCGTCTGGTTCTGTCTCGTCTTTAATCTCGCAGTTTTCCGTCGTTTGGGCTTGGTTTGCGAGTTTCTCGTCCGCTTCCGGTTTCTCATCGACTTCCGGGAGTGGGTTATCGATGGTTTTGTTGGGGTCGTCGGACTGGTCCTCGTCGTCGGTGTCGTCGTCCATGTTGGCCTCAGAAATGTCGTCGTCGTCGTATTGTTCGCTGGCGGAAGTGTCATCGCCATCTTCTCTGTGTGGATCGTGGTCATTTTCTCTTGGTGGAGAATGGTCATTTTCTCTTGGTGGAGAATGGTCATTTTCTCTTGGTGGAGCATGGTCATTTTCTCTTGGTGGAGCATGGTCATTGTCTCTTGGTGGAGCATGGTCATTTTCTCTAGTTGGAGAATGGTCATTGTCTCTTGGTGGAGCATTGACCTTTTGCTCACATCCACTGGACGCAAGTGGAGTTTGAGCCTGGTCACTCAGCGGCACGTTCGGGCTGAGCATTTGCGGGTTGTCCGGGTTGCTGGACATGTGGCATTTGTCAGTGGCGGCCAGCGCGGGGTGGGCGTGGGCCGACGTGATGAAAAATGGACTGGCAGCGGCGTAGCCTGGCATAAATCCAGGTGAGAAATTCACAGGTAGTTTGTTGGGAGTCACTGGCGTGGAGGGGGTGTGCTGGTGAGTCATACCCCCACTTGGAGCGGCGGAGTCTTGTTTGGGGGACGCGGCGTCAGCGGGTTTATGAGCTGGTTGTTTGTTGGCGTCAGAGTTTGTGCTTAGAGAGGCAGGACGTTGACTTGACTTGACCGACACACCTGGTTTGGCAAGATTGACACCTGTGTCTTTGGCTGGGCTGGAATTGAATTAAAAACATGTCAACTATAGCAACAAACAAGTCTTTGAACTATCGTAAATTAAGTGGGTAGAAATCTTCACCGTGATGAAAATTTCACGAGTGACTTAAAGAATGGTAGGAGGAAACAAAGAGTTTGTATTGCATCACGAGAATCGGACTGATTTTCTTTATACAAAGTTTTAATCTTTTAGTGAGCTTATTTTTTTAGTGACAAGTGCTCACCTTTGTGGTGTGACATCCGCCATCTTGGACTTGTCAGCGGAATGACGCTTGACTTCCGGTTTAGCCTGAGCGCCCCCAGATGAAGAAAGATTGGTAGCCATTGTGCCGGTGCCTGGAGGCCGGAAGACGCCGGCCACGTGCCCATCAGTGCCGGCATTGCTGGAGCTGCTATTGGGCTTCCTCGGCTTCCTCTCGCCGTTGGGGATTCGTCGCTTCTCTCCCTTGCGAGTCTGCAGAAAACAAAGGCAATAACTCTAACTCTTCGTCTTGCATAATAGAAAGCACCTCGGCGAGGGCGGTGGGGATTGGGGGCCCTGGTAATAAGGATTGACACAAGAAGAGCATGAATGATTTACAAAGGGCGCGATGGATCTGCAGGCTGACTGATACTGACACGCACAGAAGGGGAGGGGGGACGGGACACACTACCCCTCTCCTCCATCCCGCATCTTCCGATCAATGTAAAAACACACGAAAACTGTGCGATATTTTTACTCTCTTCACCGCCCTCGTGCGAAGAGTATCCTTAGAGTTTCGCGACGGTGTTTGAAGGGTACTCACTCGATGGATAAAAATCCCCACAAGGGCTGAGAGTTTCAAAAGCCCCGCTCATTAGAAATCCAGCTTGACTGAGAAATTAAAAGCACCGGTAATTGAAGGAGGAGAATGGCGACCACGGACAGAAAGAGACCAGGAATTTGAAAGAGGGAAGAAGAGAGAGAGGAAGGAGGGAGGGAAGGAGAAAAGAAAGTTCCAGTCAATGAGGAATGGAGTCCCGAGAATGGCCGGTGCAGTGATCGACTACGTATACCCATCGATCTGGTTCTACTCGGGGGGGGGGGGGAACCGGAAGCTGCCTCGTCCCGCGAGAATGGGGTGGACGGGAAAAGAAATGTCGGAAGAAAATGGGGAAAGGGAGGGGGTGGCGTGGTGGAAAATGAAATGACGGGGAAGGGGAGGGATGGGTGTATGTGAAAGAGAAAGACAGTGGAGGGGGTTAAGAAAGTAGGGGGGGGGGGGGGGTCGATGAGATTTGATGCGCGCGGCGCGTTGAGTGTCGAGGAAGAAAGGACCTCTTAAAACTGCACGAGAGGTATGGAAAAACGTAGCGCGGGCCTTAACGAGGGCCGATAATGTCGATACGGTGTGAAATCAAGGAAATAATCCGGCGCAAGACGCCCAGTTTCTTAATTAAAAAATAATTCTAATGAGACACAAAGATAACCTTATGATAAAATAGGGGTTAAATATTTAGGTTAGTTTGTATATCGTTTTATAATATGGTTTACGATTTTTTAATACCGTCTCTTTTACTATTATAACACTATTTAAGGCTAACGATTATTCATGAATATTGGGTGTTAAAATGTGTTGGTGTTATAACAGCATTTGAAGGTTAACTGTGTTCATATATATTATATCGAGTGTTGTAAAGGGGGGGGGGAGAGGAGATATAATTTAACAATAATTAAAAACTCGACATTTTCTCTTCCCCCTTGCTGGTATAGACTAGAATACATCCCTAACCCGGCGAAATACATTAATCTTTTTTTATAATAAAGAGTCAGAAACAGAAGATAATGACGCGGTCTCTAGCGGACCAGCCCTCCCCAGCCCGCCTCGGTCAGTCTCGTATCACGGCGGGGAAACCCGGTGATAAATAAAGAACGAGCGCTGATATGAAAATGGAAAATTTCAAAAGGCCTTCCTGACTGGGGACGCCGGCTCATAAAATATTGAAGCTGCTGGGACGAGCACAGCGCCGCGCCTCCGGCTCCCTCGCCCAAATGCTCCCCCGCTCTCGTCCAGTAATTATACCGTGTTATCGGAGCGCGCTAACCCCATTTGCATACGACTATCTTTTCGTGAATTTTGTTTACGGGGCGAGGGGACAGAAATTCTCATTCTGCGTGGGGGCAGATTTGGATGGACCTTTGACCTCTGACCTAAAGGGGGCAGCGATTGAAAATAGCGAAATGTAAAGCGTGTGTACTTGCGTGTTCAAGAACTCGCGTGGTTGTGTAGTCGTGTGTGTTTGTGTTGTGTTTATGTACACATATGTTTGTGTGTTTGATAATTAAAACTTCAAAGAGGTATAATTTAAGACTGTGTAAATTAGATCAACGGTGGGTTGTGTGTATGTGGGGAGGGGGGGTGTAATTTATTAAAGCAGGCAAGCAACACCTAAACGAGACAGTTAATGTCATTCACTTCTTATCTAGTCACACCTGAGGTTCAAAGGCGCTGTAGTTTTCTCTACTTCCTATTTAAACGGGAATACCCGTGTGTGTTCGCGTGCGTAATGTGGTGCGTAGTGTTCATGCAGGTCCTTCTGTGTGCGTAGTGTATATATAGGTCCTGTTTAAAAACATGCCTTAGAAACACCTCTAATTAGAAGTCCTATTCTTCTTGTCTAATTATTGAATTTATTAAGTTTAAATCGTCTTAACTGTATAGGTCAACGGATAGCCAGCACTAAGTCAGTCGTTGTGTTTGTAAGGTCGTTTCTCAATCCCCCAATTCTGTGCCTGTTATGTGATCGAGGCGAGGGGACGAGTAGGGTGGCCGTTAAACCGGAAGTGCTGATAAAACTAATTGTTTTAATGTATTGATCATAAAAAAGAGCAGACGATGAACGGCCGTTATTCCCCCGACACCAGGAAGGTCAGGTCTCTCTGTTTATCAGCTTTTTTGTTCCGTTTTTTTTTTCGTTCCGTTTTTTTTTCGTTCCGGTTTTTTTTTTTTACTTTACGCGAGTGGGGCTCTAGGCTGTCGAGCTAGAAACGGATTGTTTTTTTACTGCTGTTATCATACTTTACCGTTCTTATAATACTTTACCGTTGTTATAATACTTTACCATTGTTATAATACTTTACCATTGTTATAATACTTTACCGTTGTTATAAATAATTTACTTTTTGTAATTTTACTTTATTTTAACTTATTCCTGATGTATTATAACTGCTTTGATTAAAACTTCACTTTGTTTAAGAAACCTCCACTGTTTTGTAACACTACAGTTACTATACTATTTTACTGTATATTAATTTTAGAATATTTTCTTCTCATTTACCAACAATTTATTATAATTTTTTTTTCTTATTTTATTCGCCTCGTATGTGTGGGCTAAAGAAAAAAGCAGCCGCCATTTAAAAGCCCCCCACCCCACCAGACCAGGCAAACAAGCAGCCAAATCCTCGGCATTCTGCTAGCAAGCATGGACGGCTTCCACGGACGACCATTACACACGCCAGCACTGCGGAGAGGGGAGGGGGAGGGGGGAGGAGGCGAGGTGGTAATTTACCAAACAGCCGTCGCGACATCTCCGGTCTGCCGTGTCCCCGGAAACTTCCGGGCTCAGCCGGAGTCGTATGATGGATTTTCGCCCTCGGCACGTCCCCAGCCCCGGCGTTCGTCCCACACAGCCAACTCCTCTGTTGCCTCGTAATTGTCAATAAAATGGGAGTCCCTTTAATGATCAAATATCGGGGCGTGGCACTAGAAAGGCATGTCTAGTTTTTTTTTACACTCGGGGAAAATTGGACGTGGGGGGGGGGGGAGGAGTCCGGGGGTGGGGGTGGCTGGTCTAGGGGTGGTGAAATTGGTGAAAAGAATGCAAATGACGAAACGCCTTGTTATAGAAAAGGCTATAGCCTTCTGTTGGAACGCAGCGTAAGAGAACTTTAATAACGAGTGACGGTACGTATAATCTCGCAAACGAAATGAGTAGCCCGCCGCCCGTGGGGGGAACGTAATGTAGAAGCCGAGGGGGCAGATTGAAAAACGAACCCACGTGGAAGCGAGGGCTGACGGGAGGGGGGGGGGGACGGGACGGGAGGGTGATTAAAAAAAAAGTGGAAGGAAATCGTCTTTTGTAGCCTCGGGTGTAAGCGCCTTGTGTTAGGTGGGCGTGTCCACGTCATCAGCTAAGATGCCTAATATCGTCAGAGCCTAGATAGCTTCACACGATTTTAACCCCCCCCCCCCCCACCATCAAAAAACAAAGTTAAAATCATCATTAACATAAAAAAGCAGAACGTGAACTAAAACCCAACCTGACGGAAGGTCTAATTAATTTAACGTCATTGATTTTGTTTTTTGTTTTTTAAATATTTTTTGTTAACAATTTTTTTAGTGAGAAATTTAAAAAAACAACTCAAGTCTGGCGAGAATGTTGTGAGTTGCGTGTGTTTAGATAGGTTTTTTGTAGAAAGTGTTGAGATGCAGCGGTGTCTGTGGTGTATGGTGTGTACAGTGGTGTGGGGTGGTGTGCGCTGTTCGGCCTGCACGTGCTCGCTGGTGTGAAATAAACGGCCTGGCGATTGGACGATAACTACCCAGCCCCCCCCCCGCCATCCACCGAGGCAAGCAGGGGCAGGTAATTAATACCTGCTCGCCGCTAGCGAGAGAACGCCGGCGGCCTGGCGATTAATTTGAAATAACATATGGGAAGTCTGCGGTCTCTGGTGGGCTGTGTGGGCCAGATGTAAAATATACACTCGCCCCGGGCGGGGGAAGGGGGGTGTCAAGGGCGTGGGGCGGTACACGCCTGAACTAAATTAAAAACTGTCTAACCTGGGAATACATGAAGCATGTGCTGAGAAAACTCTAAAACTGTATCATGACGTAATGTATATGACGTCATTGAACACTGTCAATGTTCAAAACTATAAAACGACACAGAAACAATATGACGTAGGGATATGTGACGTCACGTAACACATGTTGTTTGTGCCGAGTAGACACGTTTTAAAAACAACACGCGCAAGCTGTGTCGCGGCACACCATTATCGCCCGAGGTGTCATTAGGCGAAACAACGCGGGCTCTAATTATCTTAAAAAAAGGAAATTAACACCACGTAGGTGACTGTTAATGTTGGTGTGGGCGGGAGTTTTTTGGAGCTGGAGTCAGTTTGGTGGACGGGGGTGTGGGGTAAGGCTTTTGCTGGCGTCGGCAGATTCAGCATTCTAGTTGATGGAGTGTTTAAATACCTACTTTAGCTTCGATATTTTTAACCCTTTAATAATAAAAACAAAGAAACGTCGTGTTATATTTTAGTATAGTCTTTGGTAGTTGCATTCAATATTGTTTCAAAATTCAGAATGAATTATTTTTATATTGAATTCTACACGTATCGTATTTCTCGTGTAAAACATTAAAAAAACATACTTAACAATTTTAGAGATTAAAGCACTTGAGAAATGTAAATACTATTTTTAAATCTATACA